TAAGCACTGTCCTCAAGAGGGTAAGGTGGAGAAAGGGAAAGAAAAGAAAGGAGAAAAAGGACAGAAGACGTTAAGAGAAGAGCAAGAACGTTGTTAGGTGTTGGGCAAGGGGACCAAAACCACAGCCTGGAGTCTAAAAGCTCCAGAATTAAGGGTAAATGGTGTGAAAACGAGGAGAGTCCGAAATAAAATTCAGATAGACCACATGGCCATATAAGCAGAGTATTTGTCATGATGTTGTGCCAGTTCCTCAAAGCACTGAATGCAAGTAGGTTCAGACATCGATTCTGCTGTCGTAGGCGCACAGACCTGTGAATTTAATGTACATAAACAAATGTTTTACAGTAAATTACCATGTTAATTTGAGCAAAAAGTTTCCATTTAAAAAAAACTGTTAGCAACAATGGATACATGTACACATTACAAGATCTAGATAGCTAGAAAAAGCATCAAAGCTAACATCCTTACCACCTAATACAATTTGTCCTTTGGCTGCAAAAGTTCCAAATGAACAACAGGTTGCAAAAGAGAGTAGGACAAACTTCCAAAAATTCTTCAAGTATATTAATAATAAAAAAGTCAGGTCTGAGAATTTGGGACCTTTGCAAGATAAATTGGTTACTGTGGACGCAGAGAAGGCAAATTTACTAAATTCTTTTTTCAGCTCTGTATATACAAAGGAAAACGAGGGAGATCAAGTCTATAAAGGAGATAGTACTGATATAGCCCCAAAAGGAAACACAATGATAAGGTCCAGAAACATTTATACAAAATAAAGGTGCATAAAGCATTTGGACCAGGTGGCATACACCTACATGTCCTCAAAGAGTTGAGTTCTTTCATTTGTAAGTCATTGTTTAGGAGACATTTTGCATTACTGGCTCGGGACCATTTGATTGGCACAGGGCCAATGTAGTGCAAAAGGGATCAAAGTCTTTACTAAGTAACTACATACTGGTTAGTTTAACTTCTATAGTCTGGAAGGTACTTGAGAGGTTGATATAAAAAAAACACAAAAAGAGTTTTGGCTAGAAAATAATATTACAATAGTCACAATGGTATTTAGAATACCCAAGCTGTCAAACAAATTTGCTCTCTTTTTATTAGGAAGTAAGCAAAAACTATTTAGTATACTAAGACTTTGCAAAAGAATTTGACACAGTTCTTCACAGAAAAATTGGCAAAATAGATCATATTCAGAGAGTAGTAGTTATAGATTTATACACTGAATGGTTTGAGGTTATTAGTGGTATGGTCCAAGGTTCATTGTTGAAACCTTTACTTTTTAACCTATTTATATAATTAAAGTGGCTGTACAGGCTGAAGGTTTTTTACCTTCATGCATTCTATGCATGAAGGTAAAAAACATTCTGTGTGCAGAAGCTCCCCCAGTCCCCTCAACACTGAGCCTCATCGCGATCCACAGCTGTGAATGACAGCCTCGGCTGTCCTGGGTCTCTGCCTCCCTATTGGCTGAGACAGCAAGAGGGAGCCATTGGCTCCTGCTTTTGTCAATCACAGCCAGTCAGCCAATGAGGAGAGGGGGCGGGGCCAAGCCACAGCTCCATGTGCGAATGGACACACGGGAGCAGCGGGTGACCCCATAGCAAGCTGTTTGCTGTGGGGGCACCCAACAGACAGGAGGAGCCAAGAGAACCTGCAGGGGACCCAAGAAGAAGAGGATCCAGGCTGCTCTGTGCAAAACAACTGCACACAGGTAAGTATAACATGTTTGTTATTTAAAAAAAAAAATTGACCTTTAGAATCGCTTTAAATAGAGTTTGAGATTAAAAGTACATTTTCAGTGTTTTTAGATGACACATGAGGAGGGGCTTTCTCAACTAAGCACACCCCCTGCCTGCATGCCTGAGCTAAGGGCAGATTGATTCTAGGAAGTAAATGCTTCCCCTACTCATGCCATGGGCATGGCTATAAATGCTAGGATAATGTTTTTCAAAGTGATGTCTTAGCAAAATAAAGCATGGAGACATGGATGTATGGGTGAGTTTGCTGTGAATATTAAACATGATTTAAATTGCATTTTCAGTATGTAGTGCTCAGATACATTTAATTTCCATGTTAACTCGGTAGCTACTGTACCTCTAATCTGCCGTTATAACATCTAGCTTACTGCAGGTTTAGTGCTAAGGTCACAGGTAACATGTAGGTAGTAGTTTTAACAACATTAGCATCAATAGGTGCTTTGTGCATGCATCATTTTTCACGCCCTCTCTTATAATTACTCATAGTAATTTTATTATAATGGATGTAATAATTATTATTGTTAGTAAATATCCCTCAGCCCTGGTTCACACCAATTCGATTTTTCATGCAATTTGACAGTTCAAAATCGCATGACAAGTGGGCAATGGAACCGTTTACATCATTGTGACTCAAGTCGCAGCGACTTTGAAAAAGGTTCCTGCACTACTGTTCTGTGATTTCATTGTGACTTGCATTGACTTCTGTTAAATGAAGTTGCAAACCACAATGAAATGGAACATCCAAATCACACTGATTTGCAGCTTTGAAATCATGCTGAAGTAGAGCAATTTCAAAGATGCACTGGTGTGAACCAGGGCTCAAGTTGAAGTTACATAGTAAGTCTAGTTGAAAAAAGACAAAAGTCCATCCAGTGCAACCCTAAAAAAAAAGTTATAATCCTACACCAACAGTTGATCCAGACGAAGGCAAAAAACCTAGCAAAGCATGATCCAATTTGCTCTTGCAGGGAAAAAAAATTCCTTCCCAATATTCCCTGGATCAACTATACTTATATTATTAATATACAGGATGTATATAGCGCCAACAGTTTGCACAGCGCTTAACAAAATTAAGACATTACAGTTTCAATACAATGTGGTACAAGAGGAAACAGAGGGCCCTGCTCGTTAGAGCTTACAATCTAGGAGATATATATATAATTGTTAGTGTCCAGTTTATATTATGTGTATCTAAACTGTTAAAAATAAAAAGTTGACCTATTATGTAAGCAAATATCAACAACGTATAGCTGCCAAAAACCTGTAGCGGGGAAAACACCACATCTAGCTCATGTAACCACCAAATGTAATGAAAACCATGGCTAATATGGTGACTCATCTTGTCCATCCAGTTCAACCATAAAAAAAAGTTATGATCTTACACCCACAGTTGATCCAGAGGAAGGCAAAAAACCCAGGTAAGCACGATCCAATTTTCTGACCAGGGGTGGACTGACCATTTGGAAACTCGGGCACTCCCCGAGGGCCCGGGGTCAGTAGGGGGCCCCATGAGATGCCCCTGGTACCTTTTTCATAGGCTTTTTTGAGTTTGGGCAAGGACACAGGGACCCCATGATCCCCTATTGCCTGGGGGCCCCATGAGTTGTCAGTCCGCCCCGATGGAGACAATATGTTTGTTAACAGATAAAATTAATATAATATTTTTAAAAAAAAATATAATACATCAGAACTTCTACAGTTATATTTTATTGATTTATCTCTTAATATGAAATAAACCTGTGTGCTAAAATCTTAGCAGGATACTACAGTGGGCTTCAAATATAAAACAAAATATTAGTTCTCTTCTCACATCTACTGTCTGGGCTATTGAGGGGTAGTCATTGTACTCAAGTACAACAGCTTCTTTAGGAGAGCTGAGCCTTAAGCGTCTCCTTAAAAGGGGGTTACCAGAGAGGAGGGAACCAGGGGCCATTTTCAGTGCATCCTGGACGGGACAATCTAATCCTCTTTGCTGGTGCATCTGCTCTGTCAGTTTTGCTCTTCAAATCAAAAGGCGTCACGTTAATTAAAGTTCCCTTTTCTTTTATTTTTATTCAACCCCTGAAATGTGACCAGTATACGCAAAAAGGTTTCAGCCCACTTTAGACACAAATATCAAGCAGAAGGGTATGCACTTTGATTTGTTGTCTGGTTTCCGCTTACTATTCTCCCCCCTTTTTTTTTTTGTTTTTTAAATCTTTAGACTGGGACCTCCTTTTTTAACAAAGTGCAGTACATTCAGGCAGCTTCACAAAACAAAGCATTCAGACCACAAAGGCATTTATCTGTATGCAAGTTATTTGGCAGACTCTCACTGCCCATGAGATCATCTCTTCTTAAAATAAGCAGATTTGGTCACATCCTGCAAAATATATAAACAGTTTAATAGAAGACTTTTACAGGCAGATGTGTACATTCTTCCATGGCCTGTCAATCAGGACAACAGAGAATATCTGCATTTTCTCCAGCGCAGACATGCTTCCACTATACGATTTTGCAGCTGTGATGAAGTTCAAGCCAGGAAATCTGATTCTCCTAACCAGGAGGTGATACTTTACTGATCACCCATGAGATTTTTACATTGTTGTGTGGAATTCTAATTGACTGTTTAATGTGTTTGGATCATGCACAAGCTAAAATAGCTACTATACCTTTTTAGTTAGTTAGTTAGTTAGATTTATCCTGGAATTTTACATTAAAAGTTGCAAACACAGCACTACCTGGCAAAAAATATTCCATCCCATACAGTAAATATAGTAGTGTGAAATTTATTGGTGCATTAAACTGATTGTAAAGTTTTTTGTTTTTTTTTAAATTTATTTTATTCACTAACAAAATCCCTCTTTACAACATAAAAAGAAGGGACATATTTTAACCACTTGCCCTCCAGAGGATTTACCCCCCCTTCCTGACCAGGCCATTTTTTGCGTTATGGCGCTAAGTTACATTAACTGACAATTGCGCATTATTACTGTTGCCCCCAAATGAAATTTACACCTTTTTTCCCACAAATAGAGCTGCTTTTTTTGATGGTATTTGATCATCTGTGGGTTTTTTATTTTTTGCGCTATAAATAAAAAATAGACCTACAATTTTGAGAAAATAATTATATTTTTGACTTTTTGCTATTAAACATGTTCAGTAATAAAATTAACAAAATCAAATTTCGTCATATATTTAGGGCAAAATGTATTCTGCTACATGTCTGTTTTTTTTTTTACTAGTAATGACGACGATCAGCAACTTATAGCAGGACTGTGGGACTATGGCAGGCATTCTGACACTGGGGGGAACTGACGTGGTGTCACTGACATCCCCAGTGGCACCAATACAGTGATCAGTGCTAATAAAAAGCACTGACATTGAACTAATGGCACTGGGCAGGAAGGGGGTTAACATCTGGGGCAATCAAAGAGTTAACTGTGTGCTGTGTGTGTTTCACTATGGGGCTGTGTCTGTGCTTTCCACTGTAAGCACACTGCTTTGTATGGCTCTGCTATGCAAAGCCATGCAAAGCAGTGAACTGGAGCTGACAGGGGAGAGAACTGTATTATTTACATACAGTTCTCTCCTCCCGACTTTAGTACTTGGTGATCACCAGGTGCCGGGGAGTAATCATCAGCCGGGACATGGTGGTTGACAGCTGAGGCCGCTAATGGTAGGGTCATGCATTCCCCCTATGCGAAATGCAAAATCCCGTATATATACACCCCTGCCGCCCTGTAGCAGTATTTCTGCTATAGTGCGGTGGTAAAGCAGTAAAGGGATAATGTAAGTACATTAAGGGGTAAGTAAGTACATTTATCAAAAGTAGTACATTTATCAAGAGAATAGACATTTCCCAGATCCCAGAGTTTGTGCAGCTTTTATTCTGAAGTTGTATATAAATAGTCATGGAGAAACATTCCAGATCAGACAGTTATCGGGGTCAACGTAATTCATTGTTTTTTGTTGTCTGCCTCCACTCTTAATATCTTATGGACATCTTTATACTCTTTGAACTTTTTGTGTCGTAGGGTGGATGGCATTATAAGGGAGAGCCTAGAAAGCAGGGCCAGTGCAGCGATGTTTGTCTACACAGGAGTAGGTGCATTTTTCTGCACCCGTCCAGCCCCCCAGCTGTTATGTGATGGCACGCAGCGTGAAAGACGTAATGCTGCATTTATCACTTTAATCAAATGGCCTCCAAATGGGTGCGTAATGAGGGGAGGGTATATTTGCTCTCCACATCCCCTCACTGTCTACAGTCCTGCAGACAGATACATTATGCCTATAATGTGATGTGATGCAGCGTGAAGGACGTCACACAGCATTGAAAATTTGAGCTGTGCTGAACTGCCACTAAACATTAGTGTATAATAAGGAGGGGGCAGTCTAAAACTTCCACGCTGTGCCTGGTAGATAACAGAAGACAGGTATTTTAAAAATCTAAATCCCCAGCACGTGGCTGTTGATTCAGATTTTACAATCCCCCTACCCCATCCTGGCACCCTAAGGAAACTGCCTAAGTAGCCATTATGCTGGTGCTGGCCCATGTTCCCACTAAGAGGGAAAATGTAAAACCTGCATCCTAATCTGAAAATAGTACATTTTTGTGGAAGCGATTTTATCTCTTATACTCGTCACAACTTTGAGGAGTGGTGGAACAAAAAAGAAAATAAATGAAATATTAAAGCAAAAAATTGGAAGAAAAAAGAAAAAAATTAATGCCCAACTATGAGCTCCAGTAAAGCCCCATTCAGGTTAGTTGCATGATGTTCAGATTCATTCCTGGTGTTGAGCAGTTCTTGATTCAGAAATTGGGATTGATTCATAGTAAGTCTTCAGTCATTCTGGTTATTTGAATTACTGTGTGTACAGTATTGCAATCTAATCTGCTTCTTTTTTTTTTTTTAACAAAAACGACCCAAGTTGTACTCTAAAGCTCATCGCAAGGGAGAACCGAAAAAAGCCCATCCACTTACCATGTCCCTGAAATTTTAAAGTTTTTTTAAAAAGAACTTTTCAAGGCCCCAATTACTTTCCTACCTGCTTACCTTCTGCTCCATGTTGTTTGGAGCATGCTGTTTTAGGTGCTTATGTCCAGGTGACAGAAAAGCTGGCCATTGTCACAATATTCAGCAGAAATAATGTGAATGTGAATGGTGGACACAAAACTGGCTGGCTGGAGAATAGAGGGCAGCTGCACATTAGTGACCAGTAACAAAAGAGGCACCTCTAGAGATTACATTACAGCAGATTTAAGTAAGGTTTTTATGGGTTTTGGGGTTTTTAGTTTTATTTTAAGCAGCAGATTAGATGTTGTGGGGCTTTTAGTTAATCTAGTCCTCTCAATATAAAAAGGAGGATAAAAGCCACCATAGTGTCAGTTCTGTATTGGTCAAGTGACTGGAAAGTCACCGTGGAACATGTAGTTCTGATTCTGGACCTGCCATGGTGCTCAGGAGCAGTGCAGCTCACAGTTTGTTTGTGGAATTGAATGAGAATTTGCTGGTATGTCTGCTATGAGGAGCCGCTGGGGGTAACAGGACAGCAAAGCTAATAAATATGTGTAGTTTAGGTGTCAGCACTGCTTTGCTTATGTAATGACAGTCCTCCGCTAGACAGCTGTTGTGGTAATATGAGTTCCAAAGGAGAATGATTCCAGAGGCTGTGGATATGTTCCTTTCTTACCACTTCAGACCTCAATGTTATCCACAACTCAATATGACCATCAGGCTTTTTATCCACCGTTTTACCTGAGACGTGGGTTAATGCCATCTTCTACAATTACACAGTACAGGAGTTTTATAAACATGTTAATGTGCTTTCAAAATTGTTTTTGAATCTCTTTAAATCTGTGGCATTCCTTGAATGAATTTTTGGTGACCCTGCTATGAAGTTCCTTTTTCAGGCACACTCTCCCAGGATAGCTCTTAGCATTCCAGCAGTAAAGGAACCCAGAACTATGAGCAATTATGACTTGTAGCGTGCAGTAATCTAAGGCAGATTTTAGTTTTGGAAGGTTATTGTGTGTTACTACAACTATTACTATTACTATACTTTTTGCATAAACCAGTTTGACAGCACGGTGAGAGAGGCTACATTCCACTGCATAGGAATAAATGAAGGAAACACAGTCAGGCTAACCTGTGCAAACCTGTCCAGTAATATCAGTTTTGCACTATTCTTTATAAACAGCACAAGTGCACTGTTACAGATATAATCCACAAGTGTCTGCTGTTTGTTCTATGAAAGAAATGTGGAAGTTGGAATTGCTGCCACTTACACCAGTGCTGGGGATTAATTTTCCTGCCAATGACACCAATGCTGGGGTTTATTTTTCCTGCCAATGATACCAATGATGGCTTATTTTACTCTGAAATGAATAAAACACAATTTATTGGTCATGTTCCCAGGTGTTTAGAATTTTTCTTCTTGATACCTTTAAGGTGCCTCTTCTAACTATGCATGCACACCTTTAAGCCTCCTATTTGAAAATTGTTTATCTTAGTTTGTCTTTATACCTTATATGTCTGTCTCATCTTCCAAAAGCCTTTGACCATTTGTTTGGGGACATGTACAAAATTGGGGCATGCTTGTGTGGGTATGGATACAAAAGGGTTTGTAATTATATATGGTTAAAGGTGAGGTGGTCTGTGGGGTGTCCTCAGATTTCATTTTGGAAATCTAGTAATGTTAGTTTACAGTGCAGCATTTACTTGTTTCTGACCATCTGTTCTTGGTGCTGCAGAAATTGCACCTAAACACCTCAGATAATATCACTCATGTTAATCAAATTATACCAATAGTAAGAATAAAAGTTAGGTTTTACTGGTCGGGCCTTTGTGACTAAAACTGTCCTGCTCCAAGATGCTCCACGTTGAGTAGATTTTGGACCTGAGTGTTTAAGCTGCGGTCCTTGTTTGAATGTCATTCTCCAAGAGATTCATCATTTGCGTTTTTACCTCTCAATAAATCCCAACATATACTGGCTGCTTATTGGCTGACAAACAGTTTATCACCAAAACTTGGAAGCAGCAATTTGTCCAATTCACTGAGGCTGAGTGAAACATAACCATGTTCATTGTTAATGAGACACTGAACAGTGTACTCCTGGAACCCACACAAAATATTTTGCCATTTGTTCTCCATGGATTCAGTATGTGCATGCCTCCCTACCACTTGAAAGTGTTACCTCTTTATAGACTTTTAAACCAGCTTCTGGACTTCCGGTTCTCTCCCCCCCCCTCCATCATTATGGCTCTGTGCCATATTTACCATTCCTCCCTTCCTTTCTCTTCTCCTCTTCCTCCTGTGCTCCATCTTCTTCTATTGTGTTAATTTTATATGCAGAGTTCATTATGTGACCATAACCCTAATTGTCAGTGCTTCCACCGATAATATTCTGTAGGGTTCACAAATACTTTCTGCTTAGCAGGCGAGCCCCTGTAGATGTCCCTAGAGTGACACTTTTTCTCGGTTTTTCATTTCATCACCTGTGGTGTTATTTCAAGGGTAATATAGTATTCTGTGGCTTTGGAAGCGCTGTATGCTCATTAATAATAATGTAGATAAATATATAGTGATCTACTCTGTGGTATACTGATTATTTGTCACCTATGCTTACTAGTGAACCTCTGTAACACTGTTGCATATTTCCTACAAAAGTTTGCAAGTGAAAACTGTCCTGCCACTGGCCAAATTTACACTGCTTTATTATCTGTGGTCTCTTAATTCATGTAGTAAAACGCCTTCCTGTGCCTTTTGTCTTTAGTCCATTTCAGTCTAATCTTGATCATTAAAGGAGAAGTATAGCCAAAGCTCTTCTGGCTGTACTTCTATGGATCAAAGGAATGCTGTTAGTTCTGCACTTCAGTGGCCTGTGTTAAGCCCACCTGCTAAAGCCAGCTGTTGGATGATGTCACAGAGCCGGTTCAGGCTCTGCAAAGATCCCGATCATATGGTCAGAATCCACCTAGGAGCCTGGATTGGCACCTGGCCCAACCTCTCAGTGATCCACCGAGAGCCTGAGCCTGCCCCTCCTGCCCCCTCTACAGCCCAGCACTCCAGTGGGCACTGCAGGGGCAGAGCAGAATACCAGAGTCTGACAGTCACGGCTCTCTGCCCAGAGCAGAGGGGGAGAAATGAGCAATCAGCAGTGTCTGATCGCTTAGTTCTCAGTACAGATCTGGCGGGGGACAGATACAGCATCAAATCGATACTGCATCCACCTAGGTGAGTATAATTTTTTTTTTCTCAGAAAGCCGTACTTCTCTTAAAAGTATAACTAAAAGCATTATTTTTCATTGTGTTTCATTCATTCAGTAATGGAGGGTTATAACCCCCGTTCATTTTGTTTTGCCATATCTGTCTCATAGGGGAGATTTATCTTTACTTCCTGTCCCATAGCCAGAACAGGAAGTTAGAGAAAATCTCTCTAAAGTAAGGGAATTCCAGGGTATCACCAGGGTCACCGGAACTAGCGTACCCATTGGAAGATTTCTCCTGTATTACTGATCCACTGTTAACCCAAAATTTTAGATTTTCTTTTACATTCTCCTTCGTTGATAAACCTAAATAGGACAAATAGAGAGAGCTAATCTCCCTAACAGGGGCCTAGACAGGTGTGCTAATCCCTCCCTACCTTATCCAAAACTAAAAAAAAAAAAAAAGTTTT